AATCGAAAATTTGTAAAAATAAAGAAAATAAAAAACCGAAACGAAAAGTTGCAAATCGAAAATTTAAAGAAATGAAAAATCAAAGAATCGTCAAAACTGGGAAGTCGAAAAACTCAACATTGAAAGATTGAAAAACTGAAAAATTAAAAATAGAGAAATTGAAAAATCCAATAAATGAAAAAGTTTTAAAACCGAATAATTGAAGAATAGAAAAATTCTAAAATCGTAAAATTGAAAAAGTAAAAAATTTTGAAATTTATAATGATTATTACATACATAAAATGAAAACTAGAAAAACTACAAATCAAGTCTTGAAGAAACGAAAAATTAGAGAATTATGAAACTGAAAAGTCTAAAATTCACAAAAAAAAAATTACGAAAGATTGCAATCGAAAAATTGTTAAACTTCAAAAATTGAAAAAATTAGAAAATTGCAAATCGAAAAATTGAAGAAACGAAAAAATGAAAAAATCTAAATTGAAGAACAAAAAAAATATAAAATTGGATATTTCTAGAAACGAAAAAAAAAACAGAAAAATTGCAAAATCCAAAAACCGAAAAATTGAAAAACTTAAACTTAAAAGTTTGTTATTTACGTCGTTGGTTTTTACTTTACAGAGGTTATGAGAAAATAAAATTGGCAACCAATTTTTATAATTTTTCAAAGAAATGGGTTTAGTTGGGCACTGCTTCAGGGGCAAGGAAAGTTCTGTCCAAATTAACTTCGGCCAATTTAGAAACTGCAATTTAAAAATTGAAATCAGACCGTTGAGATCACAATCCCAAAATTTTTTGTGGATTTTTAAGACATTTTTTGAACAAGTCAAACCTTCTGATTTTTGATCATTTTTCGACTATTTTCGAAAATTAGCCAAAGATTTTTTTTGAAAATAGAAAAACTATATATCGAAAAACTGAAGAAATGAAAAATTAAAACACTGACAATCTAAAAATCGAGACACTTAATTTTTTTTTTTAATTAATGAATCGAAAAATTAGAAAGAAGAACAAACGCGAAAGCGAAAAATCGGAAAACCAAAAAATTGCAAAATCGAAAAATTATAGAATTGTCAAAATTGTAAAACCGAAAAAACACAACATTGATGAATCGAAAAATCGAAAGATTAAATATCGGGAAATTGACAAATTAAAAATCGAAAAAATAATTATAATAATTACGTACATATTTAACAAGAAAACTAGAAAAATTCAAATCAGAAATTGAAGAAATGAAAAACTGGAAAATCGAGAAACGAAAAATTTAAAATTGAAAAAACAAAAATTAAAAAATCCAAAAGTGGAAAAAAATATGAAAAATTGAAAAATTGCGAATCGAAAAATTGGAATTCAAAAAACTGAAAAATTAAAAACTGAAAATTGAAAAACCAGAAAATTACAACTTCAAAAAAGGACAGAATCGTCAAAATTGTTATATCGAAAAACTGTAACATTGAAAAATTAAATTAGAAATTGAAAAAGCAAAAATCGAAATTTGAAAAATCGTATAAATGAAAAATAGAAAAATTCTAAAATCCTAAAATTGAAAAAATGTAAAATATTAAAATATATTATAATTATTATATATTTAACACGAAAAGTAGAAAAATGTAAATCAAAAATTGAAGAAACGTAAAATTGGAAATTTGAAACTGAAAAAACGGAAAATTAAAAAATCAAAAAGTTGAAAAATGGAAGAATTGAAAACCGAATAAGTGAAGACATGAAAAATCGAAAAATTGAAAAATTAAAAACTCCTGAAATTTAAAACTGAAAAATTGCAACTTCTGTAAATTTAAACATCCAAAAAATCGAAAACTGAAAAATTTACAAATTGCAAATCGAAAAATTGAAGAAACGAAAAACTGGAATTCAAAAAACGAATATATAAATATAAAATCGGAACATTGAAAATTTGAAAATCTGTAAAATTAAAGAAAACGAAAGTGCAAATCAAAAATCTTCAAAAAAATCGAATAAATATAAAATGGAAAAATTTTTAAATCCTATGATTGAAAAAGTGAAAAATATTAAAAATTATTATAATTATTATATATTTAACATGAAAATTAGAAAAATGCAAGTCAAAAATTGAACAAACCAAAAATCTAAAATTGAAAAAACAAAAATTAAAAAATCCAAAATTTGAAAAATCGAAAAATTGAAAAATGAAAAACTGAAAAAATAAAAAAATAAAAAATGAAAAGTCGAAAAATTTCAAATTAAGAATTGAAATCAGGACGTCGAGATCAAAATCCCAGAATTTTTTATGGAGTTTTAGGACATTTTTCGATAACTTTTGAAAATTGGCAAAAGACTTTTTTGGAAAATCGGAAAACTGTAGATCGAAAAATTGAAGAAACGAAAAATTGAAACACTGACAATCGAGAAACTTGAAAATCTAAAAAAATTAATGAATCGAGAAATTACAATGAAGAATAAACGCGAAAGCGAAAAATTGGAAAACCAAAAAATTGCAAAATCGAGAAGTTATAAAATCGTCAAAATTGTAAATCGAAAAAATGTAACTCTGAAAGATCGAAAAATTGAAACATTAAATATTGAGAAATTAAAAAAATTGAAACTTTGAAAAATGGAATAAAAGAAAAATGGAAAAATTCTAAAATCCAAAAATTGAAAAAGGGAAAAATATTAAAAATTATTATAATGATTTTATATTTAACCTGAAAACTAGAAAAATGCAAATCAAAAATTGAAGAACCGAAAAATTGGAAAATCAAGAAACTAAAGACACGAAAAATTGAAATAAAATTGAAAAATCGAGAAATTCCAAAATAAGAATTGAAATCAGGACGTCGAGATCAAAATCACAGAATTTGTTATGGATTTTTAGGACCTTTTCGAAAAAGTTAAACCTTATGACTTTTGATCATTTTTCGACCACTTTTGAAAATTAGCAAAAGACTTTTTCGGAAAAACGGAAAACTGTAGATCGAAAAACTGAAGAAACGAAAAATTGAAACACTGACAATCGAGAAACTTGAAAATCTAAAAAAATTAATGAATCGAAAAATTAGAATGAAGAATAAACGCGAAAGCGAAAAATCGGAAAACCAAAAAATTGCAAAATCGAGAAGTTATAAAATCGTCAAAATTGTAAAATCGAAAAACTGTAACTCTGAAAGATCGAAAAATTGAAAGATTAAATATTGACAAATTAAAAAAAATTGAAACTTTGAAAAACGGAATAAAAGAAAAATGGAAAAATTCTAAAATCCTAAAATTGAAAAAGTGAAAAATATTAAAAATTATTATAATTATTTTATATTTAACTTGAAAACTAAAAAAATGCAAATCAAAAATTGAAGAACGGAAAAGTTGGAAAGTCGACAACCTGAAGACACGAAAAATTGAAAAATCGAATAATTAAAAAATGAAAAACTCGTGAAATTGCAACTTGTAAAAATTTAAACATCCAGAAAATTGAAAACTGAAAAATTAAAAAAGAAAAACTCGAGGGTTGCATTTGGTAACATTTAAAAAACAAAAAAATTTGAAAAATTGAAAAACTGCGAATCGAAAATTTGAAGAAACGGAAAATTGAAATTCAAAAAACAAATAATCGAAAAATTGCATGTCGAAAATTTGAAGAAATGAAAAATTGAAAAATCGAAAAATTTCAAATGAAGGATTGCAATTAGGACGTCGAGATCAAAATCCCAGAATTGTTTATGGATTTTTAGGACATTTTTCGAAAAAGTCAAACCTTGTGACTTTTGATAATTTTTCGACCACTTTTGAAAATTAGCAAAAGACTTTTTTGGAAAATCGGAAAACTATAGATCGAAAAACTGAAGAAACGAAAAATTGAAACATTGACAATCGACAAACTTGACAATCTAAAAAAATTAATGAGCCGAAAAATTAGAATGAAGATAAACGCGCAAGCGCAAAATTGGAAAACCAAAAAATTGCAAAATCGAGAAATTATAAAATCGTCAAAATTGTAAAATCGAAAAACTGTAACTTTGAAAGATCGAAAAATTGAAAGATTAAGTATTGACAAATTAAAAAAAATTGAAACTTTGAAAAACGGAATAAAAGAAAAATGGAAAAATTCTAAAATCCTAAAATTGAAAAAGTGAAAAATATTAAAAATTATTATAATTATTTTATATTTAACTTGAAAACTAGAAAAATGCAAATCAAAAATTGAAGAACCGAAAAATTGAAAAATGGAATAATTAAAAAATGAAAAACTCGTGAAATTTCACTTCTAAAAATTTAAACATCCAAAAAAATGAAAACTGAAAAATTTAAAAAGAAAACTCGAGGAGTTGTGTATCGTAAAATTAAAGAAACAAAAAAAATTGAAATATTGAAAAACTGTGAATCGAAAATTTGAAGAAACGAAAAATTGAAATTCAAAAAACAAATAATTATAAAATCGAAACCTTGAATATTTTGAAAAATTTTTTAAATAAAAAAAAACGAAAAACTGCAAGTCGAAAATTTGAAGAAACGAAAAATTGAAAAATCGAAAAATTGCAAATTAAAAATTGATATCAAGACGTTGAGAAACACTGAAGGAACGAAAAACTGAAACACCGAAAAATTAGAAAAGGGAGAAACTTAAAAATCTAAAAAAATGAATGAATCGAAAAATTAGAAAGAAGAATAAACGGAAAGCGAAAAATTTGGAAAGCAAAAATAGCAAAATGGAAAAATTGAAAGATTGAATATCGAGAAATTGACAAATTGAAAATCGAAAATTTGAGAAATCGAATGAAAAATGGAATTATTTTAAAATCTTAAAATCAAAAAAGTGAAATATACTAAAAGTTATTATCAACAGAAAACAACACCCGTTAAAAAAATCAGTTGTAGTTTTGGCTTGCCAATTTCTAAAATTTGTCTTTTTTCGATCTGGACACCACGCGAGAATGGAATATTTAATAAAGATATTATTATTTTTTTTAAGTAATTATTTGACGAGCCGCCACTGGGACACCCTTACATTAAAAAAAAAACAAAAATAGTACCTTCTCCGAATACTCCACCACGTCTCGCATGTTCCGGGGAAACCCCGACACCAGATACGTCTTCGCCGCCGGCGCCATCTTCATTTCCAGCATGAGGACTTCCGTCACCGTCTTGCTGGACAGCAAGCCGAAATCTTGCATGTCTGCAAAACCCCACAATAAATAACCGTCAATTGACCGAGTGTTATGCAACCGCATGCTTGTGCAACACGCCAACATCAACTATTTTAATGCAACTGCAGGAATTTGCAGTAAGTTTTATCAGAAAGATTAACCTGAAGGCTCGGCCTTGGACGCCCTACATTATTAGTTTTAAATAATCGATAAGCAAACTGTAGAATTTTCCTGTGACGGCTGCGGATGGAATGATGCGTTTGTTGGTATTAATTTTGCAGGCAAGCTGGGGTTGTCAAAGCCTAGGTCTACGCTACGGTAAGTCAGTCAAAATGTATCGCAATGCCACACCAAACTAGTTTTGAGTTTTTCGAGACTATTTACCTTTTTGAACGCTACCGATATTGATTAAGCTCGTTTGTCCATCTGGGGGTTTAACAAAAATTCAATCATTTTCTTGTACGTCACGTCGTATTGATTATTTAGCGTTTTGTGTGTGTATAATAATTTACCATTGAGTGTTTTCGGTATGAATGTTTTTTATTAGTGGTTTCATTGATTGGCTTACCGTTGCCGATGGCGTATTGTTGGAGGAGGTCGGTCATGTTGATGTGGGTGATGCCCTTTTTTTCTTGCATGAGGCTGTCGCAGTGGGTCACCTTCCCGCTGCCAGGACCTCCTGAAATGGGTTTTTTGTTATTTTCCTGTTTTTGTTAAGGTGCTGAAAATCGTGTGTGGAAGTCAACGTGCTCCTGTATGTGTGATTTATGAATCCGTTTTAAATTTTTATTCTTGGCATCTAGATTTTTGGGAAAAAATCAAAATTATGTAACCAATATTTCACAGTTTAACGGTGTTTGTCATTTTACAGTTTTTCACACCATTTTTGGAAAAAAACTGAGTGTGTTGAGGAGGCAAAATTAATCAAATTTCATTTTCTTTTAACCGCTGCTGTTTGTAATCTGAACGGGCTAATAGTCGATATCTTTCGAAGAATAAACATAAACAGTCAAAGTGCCAAAGTTAAGCATGTACTGAGAAATGGAGAATCTCTACATTTTTTGTCGTTGGTTATCTGCTTTAAATATATTTAAACTTGCCACAATTAAGCTGATCGCGCCCTCTTGGAATTTAGGGCTAAGCGGGTGTTAATTACGCCATTGGTTCAGAGTTTATAGAGGTTATCACAAAACGAAAATCGAAAAATGAAATTTTATAATTTTTTATAGAAGGGGATTTGGCGGAATATACTTCAAGGGCGAGGGAAATTCTGTCGACCAATTTTTAATTTTTCAGTTCTTCAAATTTTCAAGTTTTGATTTCCAATTTTTAGATTTTTGAAAGTTTTCATTTTGTGCTTTTTCGTTTTTTCATTTTTGATTTTTCAATTTTACAATTTTCCAATTTTTCTATTTTTTAATTAAAATTAAAAATCGAAGAACTGAAGAAATGAAAAACTGAAACATGGAAGAACTAAAAATCAAGAAACTTAAAAATCGAAAAAATTAATGAATCGTAAAATTTGAAAGAAAAGTAAAGCGAAAGCCAAAAATTGGAAAATCAATAAATGATCGAAAAATTCAAGAAACCAAAAAGTGAAAAAATTTAAATTGAAAAGCAAAAATATTATAAAATCGGAACATGCAAAAATCGAAAATTTGTAAAAATAAAGAAAATAAAAACCGAAACGAAAAATTGCAAATCGAAAGTTTGTAGAAATGAAAAATCAAAGAATCGTCAAAATTGTAAAATCGATAAACTGCAACATAGAAAGACAGAAAAATGGAGTAATACCAAATGAAAAAATTCTAACATGCTACAATTCAAAAAGTAAAGAATATTAAAAAACATTATAATTATTATACATTTAACAAGAAAACTAGAAAAATGCAAATTAAAAATTGAAGAAACGAAAAACTGGAAATTCGGGAAACGAAAAATCCAAAATTGAAAAAAGGAAATTTGAAAAATCAAAAAGTTGAAAAATCTAAAAATTGAACACAAAAAATTGAGCCCAACCGAAAAATTGTAAATCGAAAAGTTGAAAACATGAAAAATTGAAAAATAAAAAATTTTGAATTAGAAAATTGCAACTTTTAAAAATATAAATATTCAAAAAATCGAAAACTGAGAAATTTAAAAATGAAAACTCAAAGAGTTGCATATCCTCAATTGAAGAAACAAAAAATATGAAAAACTGAAAAATTGGAACATTAATAAAATTTGAAAACTGTAGAAATAAAGAAAACGAAAATTGCAAATTAAAAATTGAAATTAGGACGTCGACATCAAAATCCCAAAACTTTTTCAAAAATTAAAGGATTAAATATTTCGAAAAATTGATAAATCGAATAAATGAAAAATGGAAAAATCAAAAATCCTAAAACTGAAAAACCGAAGAATATTAAAAATTATTATAATTATTATTATTATTTAACATGAAAACTAGAAAAATGCAAATCAAAAATTGAAGAAACGAAAAATCTATAATTGAAAAAAAAAAAATAAAAATAAAAACCCGAAATGGAAAATTGCAAATCGAAAAATTTATAAGGCATAAAAAAATTGAAAAATTAAAAAGTCGTGAAATTTAAAATTGAAAAATTCCAACTTTTAAAAATTTAAACATCAAATAAATCGTAAACTAAAAGATTTAAAATGAAAACTCGAGAGTTGGATATCTTAAATGCAGAAACAAAAAAATATGAAAAATCGAAAAATTGCAGATCGAAAAATTGATAAACGAAAAACTGAAATTAAAAAAAACAAAAGTAATTATGAGATCGGAAAATTTGAAAGACTGCAAAAATGAATAAAACAAAAAATTGCAAAACAAAAACTTAACGAAATGAAAAATTGAAGAATCGAAAAGTTTCTGATTATCAATTTTTAGATTTTTGAAAGTTTACATTTCATGCTTTTTCGTTTTTTCATTTTTGATTTTTCAATTTTACAATTTTTCTATTTTGAATTAAAAATAAAAATCGAAGAACTGAAGAAACGAAAAACTGAAACATTGGAGAACTAAAAATCAAGAAACTTAAAAACAGAAAAAAATTCATCGAAAAATTAGAAAGAAAAAAAAAACGCGAAAGCGAAAAATTGAAAAACCAGAAAATTACAACTTCAAAAAAGGACAGAATCGTCAAAATTGTAACATCAAAAAACTGTAACATTGAAAAATTAAATTAGAACTTGAAAAATCAAAAATCGAAATTTGAAAAATCGAATAAATGAAAAATAGAAAAATTCTAAAATTTAAAAATTGAAAAAGTGAAAAATATTAAAATATATTATAATTATTATATATTTAACATGAAAACTAGAAAAATGCAAATCAAAAATTGAAGAAACGAAAAATTGAAAATTTGAGGAATGAAAAACGTTAAACTGAAAAAACGGAAAATCGAAAATTGAAAAACGGAAAATTAAAAAATCAAAAAGTTGAAAAATCAAAGAATTAAGAACCGAACAGTTGAAGACATGAAAAATCGAAAAACTAAAAATTAAAAACACCTGAAATTTAAAAATGAAAAATTGTAACTTCTAAAAATTTAAACATAGAATAAATCGTAAATTGAAGAAACAAAAAAATATGCAAACTGAAAAACAAAAAATAAAAAAATCCAAAAATTGAAAAATCGAAGAATTGAAAACCAAAATATTGAAAAAATTAAAATAAAAAAACAGGTAATTGTCAAATAGGAACATTGAAAATTTGAAAAACTGTAAAAATAAAGAAAATAAAAGACAGAAACGAAAAACGGAAAATTTGAGGAAATGAAAAACTGAAGAATCGAAAAATTGAAATCAGGACGTCGAAATCAAATATCCTAGAATTTTTTGTGGATCTACATCTCAGATTTTTTTTATTCAAAAAGTTCGAAAAACTGAAAAAACGAAAAAGTGGAAAATTGAAAAACTGTATATCGAAAAACGAAGAAAAGAAAAAATGGAACACTGAAGAACTATAAATTGAAAATATTAAAAATTGGAAAAAATTAATGAATTGAAAAATTAGAAAGAAGATTAAACCCGAAAGTGAAAAATTGGAAAACCAAAAAATTGCAAAATTATAGAATCGTCAAAATTATAAAATCGAAAAACTGTAACATTGAAAAATCAAAAATTTGAGAGATTAAATATCAAGAAATTGACAAATTAAAAATCGAAAATTTGAAAAATCGAATAAATTAAAGAAAAGTAGAAAAATTCTAAAATCATAAAATTACAAAAGTGAAAAATATTAAATATTATTATAATTACTGTATATTTAACATGAAAAGTACAAAAATGCAAATAAAAAATTGAAGAAAAATTGAAAAATTGAAGAACTGAAAAATTTGAAATTGAAAAAACCAAAAATTAAAAAACCCAAAAGTTGAAAAATCGAATAATTGAAAACTGAAAAATTCAAAAATAAAAAACCGGAACGATAAATTGCAAATCGAAAAATTGAGGACATGAAAAACTGAAAACTTGAAAAACTGAAAAATCAAAAATTAAAAACTCCTAAAATTACAAATCGAAAAAGTACAAAATTTAAATATCCAAAAATTAGAAAATAAAAAACTGAAAAATTTAAAAATGAAAGCTGGAAGAGTTACAAATCCTAAATTGAAGAAACAACAAAACATGAAAAATTGACGAATTGCAAATTGAAAAATTGAAGAAATGAAAAATTGAAAAAATCGAAATTTAAAAAACATTTGGATTTTTCGATTTCTCGCTTTTTCGATTTTTAACATTTTCAGCTTTCCGATTTTTAAATTTTATATTTTGCAATTTTTCTGTTTTTTGATGTTTCGATTTCTCAATTTCACGATTTTTCAATTTTTCAGTTCTTGGATTTTTCGAAAAGCATTTTCCGTCGAAATAATCTTCGAACAATTTTTTCATCTTGTTCTTTTTATTTTACAAAAATCGCGGTTGGCAACAATGCGAAATGTCAATAAGGCTTCATTATTTGAAAATTTTCCTCGATTTTTTACTTTTCCAATTTTTCCATTTTTTAAATTTTCTATTTTTTAATTTTTCGATTATTTGATGTTTTGATTTATCGAGTTTCCAATTTCCCGATTTTTCAGTATTTGAATTTTTCAATTTTTTCGTTTTTCAGTTTTTTAAATTTTCAGTTTTCGTGTCTCAAATTGACGGTTTTTCGACTTTTTGATTTCTGGCTTTTTCAGTTCTTGTTTTTCGAATTTTTTTTTGATATTTTGCTTTTTTAATTTGCCAATTTTTCGGTTTTAAACGTAGTTTTTAGAATAAATATATATACAGTTCTACTAAAAAAAAATAATGAATGAATCAATTTTTTATTAATCTGGTCGCTTTCATCTCCAGAAAATAATGGACACCTGTAAAAATAAAGAAAATAAAAAACAGAAACGAAAAATCGAAAAATTAAAAAACTAAAAACTGAAATCAGGACGTCGAGATCAAAATCCCAGAATTTTTTGTGGATATTTAGGATAGATATTTTCCCAAAACGTCAATTTTTTAGTACGTTATCATTTTTCGATCACCTTCTAAAATTAGCTAAAGAATTTTTTTGTAAATTCAAGCCCTAGAAGTTATTTTAGGCTTGGTTTTTTCGAAAATTCTTATCATTTTTGTACAATCGCCAATTGAAATATAGCAATTTTTAGGATTATTTGGTTGTCAAATCGAATTTCTTCGAAAATTGCTGTCGTTTTTCCAGAAGGGTGAATTGAAATTTGGCAAATAGTACCAATTTTAAAAATTTTACTTATAAACCAAATCTAAAGCTTCATTTTCCGTTTTTTTTTTTGATAAGGGATAAATTTTAAAATCTTTGGTGTTACAATTTCAAAGTCAAATTGTAAAATATTATTATATAATTTTGACTATTTTTCCAAGGGCGAGAGAAGTTCCGTCAACCCATTTTTAAGTTTTTCAATTTTATGTTTTTCATTTCTTCGATTTTTCAAGTTCCTGATTTCCAATTTTTTATTTTTCAGTTTTCATTTTATCCTTTTTCAATTTTTATATTTTCTTCACTCGAAAATTTGGAAAATCGAAAGATTTAAAAAACGAGAAAGTGGAAACTGAAAAGAACGAAGAAATGACAAATTGGAACACTGAAGAACTAAAACTTGAAAAACTTAAAAATCGAAAAAATTAATGAATCGAAAAATTAGAAACAAGAATAAACGGGAAAGCAAAAAATTAGAAAACCAAAAAATTGTAAAATCAAAAAACTGTAACATTGAAAGATCGAAAATTTGGAAAATCGAATAAATTAATGAAAAATTCAAGAATCATAAAATTACAAAAGTAAAAAATATTAAATATTATTATAATTATTACATATTTAACAAGAAAACTAGAAAAATACGAATCAAAAATTGAAGGAAGGAAAATCTGAAAAATCGAGAAACGAAAAATCTAAAATTAAAGAAGTGAAAAATTAAAAAATCCGAAAGCTGAAAAACTGAATAATTGAAACCCATAAAATTGAAAAAATAACGAAAACAAAATCGAAACGAAAAATTGTAAATCGAAAACCTGAAAACATGATAAATTGAAAACTGAAAAAATTGAAAACTCGTGAAATTGCAAATCTAAAAAACTCGAAAAGTTGTATAGCCTAAATTGAAGAAACAAAAAAAATGAAAAATTGAAAAAACAAAAAATTATAAAATTGGAACATTGAAAAATGGAAAGACTGTAAAAATAAAGAAAATATAAAACCGAAAACGAAAAGTTCAAGTTGAAAATTTGAAGAAATATGGTTTTGTGGATGTTTAAGACATTCTTCCAAAAAGTCAATTTTTCAGTACCTTATTTTTTTTTGATAATTTTTCGATCACATGTATTAAACTTCCAACGTTATTAACACTGTGTCAGTATTTTAATCTCTACGCTGTCATCCTCAAAAGAACGTCATTACTTTCATTAAAGACAAAACCATATATATTCGATCACGAAAGCTTGAAATATTCAAGAAGGTATAAAGCAAACGAACTATCGGAAAAAAGCTAAAGATGTTCTGGAAACCATAGCACCATTAATATCTACAAAACCCACTAATTACCTTGTGAGGTCAACATTTATAACGCATTAACATTGTCTCCGTCCTCATTACGAATTAAAAACAAACGCTTCATATACTACTTATTCCACTACGTAAATCTTCGTTCCAAAAGTGTAAACAGATCTGACCGCGACTTTGAAGCTTCATTAGCCAATCATATAATTAACGATCGCTTTAGGGTCACGTGTCAGTGACATTAACCTCAAAACACACTAACACGTAGTTGCCAACTGTTCTAATTGTTGCCACTCACCCAAAACGAAAATAACTGGCACTTTTGGTGACTCGAACTGTACAGTCGTGTCGTTTTGCATAGGCAACTTCCCGGTTGGTGGAGTGGCTGTATTTCTTCCCGGTTCGGCCCGTCTTGGGGTATTTTGCACCCAAGTGTCCTGTCCTTCTTCAAATGCTTGAGAACCATCACTCTGTTCTGGAATGAAAAAACGAAAACAACGTTAAAACATTTCCGTGTCAAAATTCCCATTCTCACAGTCAAATGCGTGCCCTTAGTGATTAGCAGCCGTAAATGTAGACAGTCGCAGCAAATCAACCCTCGCATGTAGATTAGCCACCCTTGACCGATCATATCGCTGACAACGGGGAGTACAAGGCTACACCAAAACACTGTTTCAATTCATGTTTATAAATGAGTTCTTTTCAGGGTTGGACGCGTTCTTTTTATACCCTCGACTTCTTGAGCAATTGTTCTTATTTTTAAATCCGCGTTTATAAATAGAAACTTCGCAGTTACTCCGCAATGCATTTTCTTCGACTTTTGTGTTCGATTTTCGCATAAATCAGGCAGGAAATTTTTAAATTGCGTGTGGGTTTAAGGGAGCGTGCTACTTTAACATTTCTGCATTAATTGCATTTTTTTAATGGTAATTGTGAGAGGCTTGAGCGAAAATCTGTGTTTCTATCCACTTGTTGAATGCGGGAGTTATTTATGAATTAATTAAGGTAATTACTTGGACAGAATTTAACTCCGTAATTAGTTGCATGCGTTTCTCACTCTTTTAGATTATAACGTAAACTTAAGGAAATGCTAATTTGCTTATCACGAAATCGGAGCGAATATTTTTAGAAATTCATTTTTGAATAGTGTTGTTATCAGATTTGGGAATAAACACTGCACAATTAAGATCATAAGTTGAAAGCTTTTCATTTTCTGACAAATGAGCTATTCGTTAGATGGAAAAACGTGATTAGGGTCACAGTAAAAAAATGATGGATATAGAATTTGAGTTTGAATTTTTGATGAAAAGCGTCCTGTCTGGGTTAATATACATGAAGTCGTTAAGCGTTTTTTGTTTGTTGTCACTGTGGAAATCTGAGCTTTTATCAAAGATTAAAAGTGTGAAAAATTACCACATCATCAAGGTTTAATATAAAGAACAAACTACTCAAAATAATGTTGGCAACATTGTCAAGTGCTTGTCATTTATTTCAGGGTGTGGACTTGTGTCAAATTGACATAATGTTGTTTTCAAATCAATAACACCCACTACAGATCAGAAGGACAATTACACGTTACGATAATAACAATAATATTTGGTTGACTTGTTATTGTGTTTAGTAAATAATAAACAATTTAAATGCGTCTTTGAAAAATTATCGACAATTGCAATGACATCAGTTGTGTGTATCAAAAAATCAAAAATCGTGTTTTGTGAAAAATTATAGGTTTATTTTAGCAACTTTGAGAAAATTATATCAAAGTTGAATATATTTGAATTTAAATATGTATTTGTATTTCTAGAAGGTTTGAACACGCAATGTCGAAAAAAATATTTAAAAATAAAACGTCTTGAATGTCAAATTTGCCACGGAGAGAGGAACTACTTTCAACATTTTCCTCAGTTTTCAAGATTTCTAGAACATTTCACATTTTTCACACTAGATATTTCCAGATTTTCTAAAATTAACAGACCCCAAGAGTCTTACAATCTTTGGAATTTTTGGAATCTCTGGAATCTTTAGAATCTCTGGGATGTACAAGATAGTAATTAGGGTATTCAAGACTCTGAATACATATAGGATTTATAAAAATTAAAGAAAGCCTTCTTCAGATTTTTACGATTTTTAGATTTTTAAGATTTTTGTTTTGTTTAGTCCTTAGAATCTTTAAAATTTTTGTCATTTTAAGAGTTCATGTGTTTTTTACAAATTATAGAATCTTTGAAATATTTGGAACAGAATTTTTAAAATCTTTTGAGTCCTTAGAGGATTTAGAAACTTTAGAGTTTTCAGAGTCCTTAGAGTCTTAACAATCTTTGGAAATTTTGGATACTTCAGAATTACTAGAAATTTTATAAAGTTTAGAATTTTTATAATTTATAGAAAGATTAATACTTCCAAGATCTTTACAATTTTTAAGATTTTGTTGGATGTTTCTTTTATTGAGAACCTAAAACTTTAGTTTATTTAGCATCTTTGGTATCTTTATATATTGCAAATTCTAGTGTACGAAATCATTAAGATTTTTAGAATGTGTCAAGTTTTAGAATTTTTGAAATTTAATATTTTTTTATTTTCTTTTAATTTTCGGGAATTGTCGTAATTTGCAAAATTTTCAAAATTCCAGGAAACCGAATCTCTAGAATCTTTAGAATCTCTGGGATGTACAAGATAGTAATTAGAGTATTCAAAACCCTGAATACATGTAGGATTTATAAAAATTAAAGAAAACGTTCTTCAGATTTTTACGATTTTTAGGATATTTGTTTTGTTTAGTCCTTAGAATCTTTAAAACTTTGTCATGTTAAGAGTTCATGCATTTTTTACAAATTATAGAATCTTTAAAATTTTTATAATTTCTAGAAAGATTAATACTTCCAAGATCTTTACAATTTTTAAGATTTTGTTGGATGTTTCTTCTATTTAGAACCTAAAACTTTAGTTTATTTAGCATATTTGGTGTCTTTATATATCGCAAATTCTAGTGTATGAAATCTTTAAGATTTTTACAATGTGTCAAGTCTTTAGAATTTTTGAAAGGTTTGAAACCTTTTAAATATTTGAAACGTTTACATACTTTAGAAATTTTAGAATATCTGCAAATCTTTAGAAATTTTGAAATTTAATATTTTTTTATTTTCTTTTAATTTTCGGGAACTTTCGTAATTTTCAAAATTTCAGGAATATTCCAGATTAACCCAATTTTTCAGATATTCCGAAGTACACAAAATGACCAGAATTTTCACATTTTCCAAAAGGTCTAAAATTATATCAGGCTCCAATTATAGCAGTATTTTGAAATTCAACATTTTCCAATATTTTCAAGATTTCTAGGTCTACCACATTTTTCCCACCCTTTCTAAATTTCTTCAGATTTTCTAAAACTTAGTTTCAAGAGTCTAAATCTTTGGAAGTTTTGGAATTTCTGGAATCTTTACAGTCTCCAAGATTTCTGAGATAACAATTAGGGTGGCATTTTAAGAGTTCACGCGATTTTTGCTAGTTTTACAATCTTTGGCTTTTTGGAATTTCTCTAGAACTTTTAGAATCGTTCAATTATTCAAAACAGAATTTTAGCTTTTGACCCCTTAGAGTCCTTAGAGTCTTTAGATCCTTTGGAGCCTTTAAAATTTTTAGTCTTTAGACTCTTTAGAGTCTTTCCAATCTGTGGAAATTTTGGACAGTTTTTTCTAGTACCCCCACGTTCTTTAAAATTTTTAAGATTTTGTTGGATGTTTAGAACATTAGAACTTATTTAGAACCTTAAGTGTCTTTACGGTTCGCAATTTCTGGTATATGTAATCCATGAAAGCTTTTGTACTTTTTCAATCTTTCAAATCATTGGTGACTTTGGAATCTTTAGAATCTCTACAATCTAGAATCACTAGAATTTCTACAATCTTTGGAGCTTTCAGATTTTCATTATTTTTAACATACTGCAGGATTTTTATTTTCAATTTGTAAATATTTTGTATCTGTGACAATTTTTTCCATAAAAATACAAAAACATTCGTATTAATTAATTCGTCTAAATTTTGATATTTTATTATTAATAATGTAACGAATCAGAAAAAAAATTCAAACCACCACTGTTAAGAATCGTAGAGCTGTGAATTTTTAAATGGGATCATTTTTTCACTAAAAAAATTGGTTGAAACTTCGAAAAATTATTATCAACTTTAACATTGAGAATTCTTTTTTTCATCTTTATAGTTAGTTTTCCATATAAATTTTGTCTGATAACGTTATTAATATTTTAGCAAGGGCACATATATCAATTTAGTATTAATAGACTCCTTAGAATTTTGGCACCCATGGAATCCTTGAAATCTTTGAAACTTAGAGAAGACTTTGAACTTTCACAGTATTTGAAATATTTTCACAGATTCAGTAAAATGTTCTAGAATTGAGTAAATTTTCGTAATTTCCAGAAGTTCCAGCTTTTCTAAATATTATAAAAATATCAGTCATCGGATATGCCAGAATTCAACATTTTCCTCAGTTTTCAAGATTTCTAGGTCTTTCACATTTTTCACACTTTCTAGATATTTCCAGATTTTCTAAAATTAATAGACGCCAAGAGTCTTAAAATCTTTGGAATTTTTGGAATCTCTGGAATCTTTAGAATCTCTGGGATGTACAAGATAGTAATTAGGGTATTCAAGACCCTGAACACATAGGATTTATAAAAATTAAAGAAAGCATTCTTCAGATTTTCACGATTTTTAGATTTTTAGGATTTTTGTTTTGTTTGGTCCTTGGAATCTTTAAAATTTTTTTCATGTTAGAAGTTCATGCGTTTTTTACAAATTATAGAATCTTTGAAATATTTGGAACAGAATTTTAAAAACCTTTTTAACGTTTGAATCCTTAGAGTATTTAGAAACTTTAGAGTTTTCAGAGTCCTTAGAGTCTTAACAATCTTTGGAAATTTTGGATACTTCAGAATTACTAGAAATTTTATAAAGTTTAGAATTTTTATAATTTCTAGAAAGATTAATACTTCCAAGATCTTTACAATTTGTAAGATTTTGTTGGATGTTTCTTTTATTTAGAACCTAAAACTTTAGTTTATTTAGCATCTTTGGTATCTTTATATATTGCAAATTCTAGTGTATGAAATCATTAAGATTTTTAGAATGTGTCAAGTTTTAGAATTTTTGAAATTTAATATTTTTTTATTTTCTTTTAATTGTCGGAAATTAAAGTAATTTGCAAAATTTTCACAATTTCAGGAACATTCCAGATTAACCCAATTTTTCAGATTTTCCGAAGTACACAAAATGACCAGAATTTTCACATTTTCCAAAAGTTCTAAAATTATATCAGGCTCCAGCTATAGCAGTATTTTGAAATTCAGCATTTTCCAATATTTTCAAGATTTCTAGGTCTACCACATTTTTCCCACCCTTTCTAAATTTCTTCAGATTTTCTAAAACTTAGTTTCAAGAGTCTAAATCTTTGGAAGTTTTGGAATCTCTGGAATCTTTACAGTCTTCAAGATTTCTGAGATAACAATTACGGTGGCATTTTAAGAGTTCGCGCGATTTTTACTAGTTTTAGAATCTTTGGCTTTTTGGAATTTCTCTAGAACTTTTAGAATCTTTCAATTATTCAAAACAGAATTTT